TGTGACTGGACACAGCATGAGTATGTCAGCCGGTTTCAGCCAAAGATTTTGGCTGAAGCCTGCTAGTTGGTGCTCATTTTATTTATTTAATTTTTTTTTTATTATTAATATTAATTTATTCAAATTAATAATTTTTATTTAAATACATATTACAACAAAATACAAAAACAATTCAACTAAACTTCTTTCACCTCAATCCTTCCCTCTCTTATCCATCCCTACCCATTAATTATCTCTGTCCATATAGATCTTTCTATTGCTTTTCTTAACCTGTCTACAAACCTTATTCAAAGCCTTAAATTCTATCTCACCAGTACGACTTTCCAACTATTCATTTCCCTTCACAAACTCTGCAACCGGGACTCCCATTATTTCAAAAATATTTTCCAGATGATTTAAAAGCATACCACCTTCTCCATTCTTTTTACAGTTTTCCAGTCTATCTTCATCTACTATATCTGGTATAAATCCTCCGTCCTGTTTATATATTCAATCGTCTTGATCCAATCTCTCATCTTGGGGGATCCTGTGCCTGCCAAAATTTAGGGATTAAGCCTTTTGCACCATTAATTAGATGACATAGTAAACTAATTTTATACTGCTGCACAGGTATCTCTGTACTATAAAATAGGCACACCCATGGATCTTTTTTAATAGTTATCCCCAGGATCTCCTGTATATATTGAATTACCTCCTGCCAAAACCTCTGAATTTTTACACACTCCCACCAAATGTGAGACATAGTCTCTCTTTCCCCACAACACCTCCAATATAGTGGCAAAATTTCTTCTCTTTGTTTATGTGCCATATTCGGTGTACAATACCATCTAGTTAAACATTTGTAATTCATTTCTACTGTGTACCACCCCGTGCATCAACTTAAACATTTTATTCTTCTGTTGGTCATCCATCTTTGTACCCAATTCTCTTTCCCATCTCTCTAAGAATATTGGAGGCTCAGATCCCATCAATTTAATATTAATCTTATATATTCTGGACATTACAAGCTGTCCCATGGCTCAGCATTTTTTCAAATGGAAGCATATCCTCCGTCATCCTCAGTGGCTGGGGGAGTGTTGAGACAAAATGTCCTAATTGATAATATCTGTATTCATCTAATATAAAAAATTAAATCTTTCTTATTCCTTAATTCTTGAAATTTACACAACTTCCCCTTAATTACAATGTCTCTTCGTTCATTTCTTTTTCTAAACCATTTCCCTTGCAATGTTATCGTTCCCTGGCAGTTAGAAAGCTGTTTCCACAAGGGGAATCAAAAGTGAATAAAACTCCCAACCCATTGATTTGTGCAACCCGTCCAGGGGCGGACTGACAACTCATGGGGCCCCCGGGCAATAGGAAATCATTGGACCCCTGTGTCCTTGCCAACACTCAGACCACACCCAAAAAAGCCTGTGAAAGGTATCAGGGGCATCTCAGACCCCGGGCCCTCAGGCAGTGCCCGAGTCCCCGAATGGTCAGTCCGCCCCTGAACCTGTTCCATATTATCAAGACCTCCCTTGTCAGTGCTCTACTATTTTCATCTAATACTCAAAATTTACGTGGTATACAAATAATCCTCTCTAACTGTACATTACTTAATATTCCTTCCATTTTAACCCAAAGTTTTTCCTCTGCATTATACGTATGTCCAGTCCACCATCCTTGACAGTAGCACCCACATATAATACTTCCTCATGTCTGGCAGGTTCATTCCTCCTCTCTTTGTTTTACATTGAGTCTCATAACAGATTCTTGCTTTCTCGTTAGCCCATATAAACCTCAATATCATTTTTCTTATTATCCTGAAAAAAGGTCCTGGTAAATATATTGGGAGCATTTGAAACTTATACAGTATTTTTGGGAGTATCACTAACTTGACCAGATTGATGCGTCCGATCCACAAGACCCCCCCTATTGAAAGTCTTCTCAACTCATCTTTGATTTAATTTATTAATGGTATTTAATTAGCTTGTTTTTTTTTATTTTTTAATGAAGGAGTTAGCTTTATTCCAAGGTAACTCTCCCTCCATGAGAAAGGAAACTCTTTTTGCAGGATCCGCATCTCCGCCTTTGCAGCATTGATATTTAAGATCTCAGATTTTGATCAATTTATTTTCAAATTTAACAATGCCCCATAGTGTTTTAATAGTCCCATTAAATAAGGCAACGTCAATCTAGGATTACCGATATAAAACAACATATCATCTGCATATGCTGCCACCTTGTGTTCTACTTCTCCTATCCTAATTCCTCTGATATCTATGTTCTTTCTCACCATTGCTAGTAATGGTTTCAGGGATATTACGAATAACAGAGGTGATAATGGACATCTCTGTTTAGTATACATTTTAAAGGCTCAAAACAAGAACCCATTTACTTTAATTGATGCAGGGGGTCCATAATAAAGCCCCCTTATCCATCTTATCATTTTATTCTCTATTCCTAAAGCTTCAAGAGCATTAATCATAAATTCCCAGTCCACCCAATCAAAGCATTTTTTTGCATATATCGATAATATAATTGTCGACTGTTTCCCCTTCCTTGCTTTTTGTAGGAGTAACAAAGTTCTTAGACCGTTGTCTCTTCCTTCTCTTCCTGGGACAAAGCCCACTTGATCTAGGTGTATCCACTCTGGCTCAGCTCCTTCATCCTAGTGGCAAGGACATTTGCAAATAACTTTGCATCAATATTTAATAATAATATGGGTCTATAACTAGCACATTGTGCACTGTCCTTCCCTTCTTTAAGAATAACTAATATATATGCCGTCACGTGTCTAGGGACACCTGGCGTCTGACGCACTCATGCAGAACCGGAAGTGCGGTCGTGGCCATCTTGGAATTGGGAACACGCTGTTTTTCCCAATAAGGAGTACACTGGAGCTATCTTTTGTATTTTGGAAGCTGTTCTCTTCGGTTTTTATATGTAAGCTACCTAAATAAAATGTAATTTATCTGCTACACCATCATTTCTAATCCCTGGTTTATTCTATGAGGGTCATAGAGGAGAGGCAACATGAGTAATTAGGATCCTGGAGAGTGCTTTCATCCATCTGAGGAGAGCCTGCCTTTTTTTACCGACTTAGGGTAACTATTCATTGTTGCACCATCTGGAGTGATACACTTTATTTATTTTTCACCAAGTATTTTTGTGCACTATATGAGAATGAGTTTGAGGAGGAAAACCACAGGAGTGATATAGAGTTGGTTTTGGAAGTTGAATCACCCTTTGACTTTTTATTGAGTTAAGTGTGTTATTTATTATTTACACTAAGTGGAGTGAATCACTTATTTATTGTCTTTAGTTGAAGTGTTCACATTTGGAGTGTATTGACGTGTGAATTTTTATTCATATATTGACTAGGTTTTTGTGTGTTTTTTTTTTCACGTGTGATTTATCGAACATGATATGCAGTTTGCATGATACACAATTTTTGGCACTTTGTTGATTTGTATACAAGGTAATTGTCAGGGCTCCCGGGTATGACTAGTGGTATGTGACTGACGCAGGGAAACGCAGACTTCAGATATGTTATAAACAATATAATTTATTAACACTAACAATACAAACATAAACGCAGTGCAATACTAAAACATAACACAGTGCAAACAAACCAAACCAACCACCCACAGATAACAGTACATACAATGCAAGCGTCGTCAGGCAGGCCGGGTCAATAACAATCGGGCAGGTAGGTACAGGGGGAGCAAGTGGAGAATGGTCGGGGTCACAAGCCAGGTTCAGCAGGTAGCGGGCAGCGTGGTACAGAGGGTCAGGCAGAGGGATGGTCAGGAACGAGCCGGGGTCAGAGCAGGAGAGGGTCAGCGTAATCAGAACAGGCAGAGTTTGGCAACAAGGAAACGTACTAGCAGGAACACAGGAACAGGAACAAGAATGCAGGATTACAAGATACAGGGCCCAGGAAAAACACACACACCAAGGCAAAGACTGCAGGTCTGGCCATCACTTAAATACACCTGCATAAGCAGTTTCAGGTGTTTGGCTGACTGCAGGGTTGAGTCTCTGATTGCTGGGAGCACCCGCTGGCCAGCCCTGGTACTGCAGCCCACAAGGCAGGTGAGTCCCACCACTACTGGCAAGTCCATTCCTAACAGTAATACACTATATTGAGTTTATTATTTGAGATACACGCAGAATTTGGAAACATCACGTTGGAGTAATTAAAGAAAGACACTATTTGTTTTGAAGGTGGAAAAGATATTTTCATATAGAGACAATTTGATATTTATAATTTTTTTTTTTTGGACATTCTTTGATTGGGACATTTATGTTTTGGGACACTTATTATTATTTATTGCATATTTTTTTATTTGTATTTTTATATTTTTTTGCATTAATATCTTTTATGATTTTATTTAGTATATTCATTCACTGAGAAAAGTTCTTTATTATTTATGTTAACTTTCAAGGGTAAAAGTTGTTTACTTTTCTTTTAGGGTGTGGGAGTGATTGGTAGAGGTGGGATTGTGCAGAGCAATTGGTTTAGATCCAGTGCTACTAATTTATCTTCTGCTAATTTTGGTAACTGTGCCTCCTTGACAATTCTAAGCTTTTCCTGTTCTTCTCTTTTTCCAATCCTTTTTGTTTTTTTGGGTTCACCTCATAAAGCTTACTGTAAAACTTTTGAAACATGTTAGCGATATCTGTGGTGGAGTAAACCAATTCCCCTTTCTCATTTTTAATGTTTTCTATATCATTTTTAGATTTCTTATCTTTTAGCCTTTTCATCAGGTATTTCCCTGGACTGTTCCCCCACCTGTAACTTCCCTTTGAAACGCTATTGAAAACTTTCCTGGTCTCGTATTCCATTAAGTCTTTTAATTTTTCTCTTTTAACCACTTCCCATCCAGCCCATGTATATAAATGGCCGGATGGGAGCAGTGCAGGGGCGGGTAGCTGTGTATAAACGTCCTCCCGGCTCCCTGCTTGTGTGCGCTCCCTGGGAGCTCTGTGCGAGGTCCCGATCATGTGATCACATGAAGAGTAGTAAGCAAGATGTCACTTCTGACATCATTGCTTACTACTAGTGAAATCTGTGAATGATTACAGAGGTTACATGGTACAAGGCTATTCACAACAGCCTTGTACCATGTGTCAAGCTGTGACCAATCACAGCTCACACAGTATTTCTCAATGGCTGCAAGAATGCAGCCAGAGAGAAGGAGAAATGGTTGCTTTTACAGCCTTTATGGGTGTAAAAGCAATCAGTGTAAAAAAGAAAACAAAAATCTTCATCAGCCCCCATAAGTAGCACAGTGTCACTATGGTGACACTGTACTGCTAAGTTGACGGTATGTAAAAAAAAAAAAAAAATAATAAAAAAATAAAATAAACATGTAAAATAAATTTTGAAAAATTATAATTTTTGGTTATAAACTAATTTGGGCTCTTTTTTTTTGACTAAAAATATAACTGAATAAATTTTGCCCAAGATTTATGAAGAAAGATTATTTATTTGCAAAATTTTATAAGAAAAATATTTTCAAAATTTTTGGACTTTTTCGTTTATATAGCAAAAAAAAAATAAAAATCCCAGTGGTGAATAACTACCACCAAAATAAAGTTTTATCTGTCTCAAAAAAATGCTAAAAAATTCATATGGGTACAGTGTTGCATGACCGTGTAATTGTCATTCAAACTGTGATAGCACTGAAAGCTGAAAATTGGCCTGGACTGGAAGGAGGTAAAAGTGTCCGGACTTTAAGTGGTTAAGGATGATCCTCTGATATATATTTGACTCCTGCTTTTTGTTATGGGTCTGTTCTAATTTATATAACTCTTCCAAAACCCCCTTTATTTTTCTCCCTCGTTCTTTCTTTTTTTTTATCCCTTGACCTATTAATACTCTCCTGATATAAGCTTTATGAGCCTCCCAAACAGTGGCTATTGATAATTCCTCTGGTTCATTCAAGGTAAAAAATTGTTACATTTCTTCCCTTAACCTTCCCTCTATTTCAGTATCTTGTATACAGTAAGTGACTCGTTTAATCTCCACATAGCCCTCCTATTCTGATCCCCACCTACTCGTAGGCTCGCTGTGACAGGAGCATGGTCTGAAATAGACGTCACCTTAATATCGAATTTAATCAACGCTTGTAAATGTCTATGCTCAATTAAAATATAGTTCAATCATGAATACGATCTGCGCGCAGGTGAGAAGAAGGTTTAATCTCTTTCCCTAGGGTGTTTCACTCCCGGATATCTATTAGTTAATTTTGATATAACCTCTTTTTCAATATTCTTAATTTTCTACCTTCATCTCGGTTTGGGTTTTATCATGGCATAGGTACCAAGGATGACATTCTCATCTTGTGGGATGGCAACAAAGAGCTGTTGGGATCATTTGTAGACAATTTAGGCCAAAACAATTGGAATCTGTCATTCTCTATGACTTGTGATGCCAAACAGATATAATTTCTTGATGTTGAAAACAACAACCAGATCATACATTGGGTAGTACGCTTTTTCAAAAACCCACAGCAGGAAACACAGTCCTCAGGGCTGACAGTGGACATCCTCAAAGCCTGATTCTTTTTCTATTCCTTTTGGACAATACATGTGCCTTAAATGGAATTGTTCGAAACAGGAAGATTTCAAAAAGGAAGCAGATGACCTGAGAGAGAGGTTTTGGGCTCCGGGGTACTGTAACAAGACCCTAAAGAAAGCATTCTAGCAAGATAATCAGAAAAATCGAATGGATTTAGTATTTCAAAATCAAAATATCCATAAGGAAAGATCCTCTGACATTACTAAATTAATTTTCTCTATAGCCTACAACAACAACAAAGTAGGAATTTAATTAAAAGGTACTGGTACCTTCTTAAGGCAGATCCACAGTTAGCTAAATGTGTCAGGGACCGAAATTGTATATAAAAAGAATAAATACATTTGAGAGACCCATGTGCAGAGTCACTTTAACAGATAGGGTAAATTTGACCCTTGTCGCTATTACGGAACCTATATTTGCAGTTCGTGCACATGTTGGCAATTCATCTCACAGGGAAAAGACATATTCTCCCAAATTGATTTATACATGAGCTAGAGCATTCTGTAAAATGTAAAACCACTGGGGTTGTCTATATGATGATCTGTGCAAACCAATCACCACTTTCGGCAAATGATCTATGACCATATCAATGCCATTAAAACATGGCATTTTCCAGTATATGGATTTCTCTTGAAGCTGGAGAAGATCCCCTGTGTAGGAAATCATTAGTTTGTGAACTTTTGCTTTTCTTTTAAATAAAACTGGGCTACCAAGCCCTTAAAAATAGTTCCTTTCTGCTGTGGACTCACTGAAATACTGCATCTGCCATGAGCTAACTACCCCATGTTATACTATACATGTTAAAAATATGTGCATCAGTTCGGGTTTTAATGTGAAACATTTTTTATAAATTGTGTGGTATCTTCAAAGTTCTGTTTAGTTATCTCTTAGGGGTTCACTTGGTTGTACTTTATGTAGTGGAGAACGTGGTACCTGTAAACCTATTTCTTCTTCCCCCATTTAACTACTTGCCCTCCAGAGGATTTACCCCCCTTCCTGACCAGGCCATTTTTTGTGTTACGGTGCTACGTACCTTTATCTGACAATTGCACAGTCATGCAACCCTCACCCAAATGAAATTTACGTCCTTTTTTCCCACGAATTGAGCTTTCTTTCGGTGTTATTTGAACGCCTGCATGTTTTTTATTTTTTTTGCGCTATAAAAAAATTTTTGAGAAAAAAAAAACAATGTTTTTGACTTTTTGCTATTGAAAATGTCCAGTAAAAAAAATTTAAAAAATCAAAATTCATCATAAATTTAGGCCAAAATGTATTCTGCTACATGTCTTTGCTAAAAAAATCCCAATACGTGTAAATTAATTGGTTTACGTGAAAGTTATAGCGGTATATATACTAAGCGGTATATATACTAAGATTTTTATTAAATTTTTACTAGTAATGGCGGCGATCAGCGACTTATAGCGGGACTGCGGGACTGTGGTGGGCATTCTGACACTGGGGGAAATTGACGTGGTGTCACTCAGTGACACCAATACACTGATTAGTGCTCATAAAAATCATGGAAATCAAAACAAAAAAACTCATTTAATGTAGTAAGTAAACAGTTTAATAGATAAAAACAGCAAAATGACTACTTCATGTAAAAAAATGGGTCCACAGACCCATACAGGCATGGAAAAACTGGCAGTTTAGGTGCCATTGCAGTTTAGGTGCCATTGCAGGCTTCTGTTTAAGATGGAAGCGTGGTGACGCCATCTTGGTACACACTAGTGTTGTACACCTTTTCTGCCATTGCAGTTTTTCCATCCATGTATGGGTCTGTGGACCCGTTTTTCACATTTGAGTAGTCATTTTGCTGTTTTTAGCTATTAAACAGTTTACTTACTATACTATGGGAGTTTTTTGTTTTGATTTCCATGATTGGACTATTGGAGAGGAGAGAGCTTTGGCCATATCCATGTGCTATTTATGTCTGGTACATTGATAAGTGTCTACCATTGCCACTTTAGAGGACTGTGCTGATCATTTTCGAAGCGGTATCATCAGATGAGTGCCCCCCCTTTTTTAGCCCTATGACCCCTTGCAGGTCGCAACTTGGAGGTGAGCTCGCACGCTAACTGGTGGAGGATTGGCTGTGTGTTTTTTGTGGTCACTGGATGTTCCACGGTTTCTTTTGAAGATACACAGATTCACTGGGACTGTGCACTTTATTTATTCATATTAATTTATGCAGTAATGTTTTTCATGTGATTTATTGATTCATTGTTATTTATTTATCCATACTGTCACTCTGTTCACGTTAGGTGTTTTTTTTTTTTTGAGTGATTCATTTTTATCAGTTTTTTATCACTTGTTTATTATCATTCTTATATTTATATTTTCCAAATTTAGATACGATCAATTTTCATGATTAATTTATTAATTTTTGTATCATCCTATTTATTGACCATTTTCTGGTTTACTCAATTTATCACCAGTTATTTACAGTTTTTTTATATTTTATTTGTACCTATTTCACCTTGATTCATTATTATTTAGGTGTCTATGTGATTGGGTAGCGCAGGATAATTTTTTTCAATTCCTTTTTCTGGCACTATTGGTTTGATAGGCAGGTGTTAGCAGCCACCCAGATTTGTTTGGTTTAGCATTGGCGGCACAGGAGGAATTTATTGTTTGTAATTATCTTCTGTGTTTACAAACACACAGAGCTCTGTATTAGTGTCACTAGTGATGTCAATGTCAGTTAGTCAGTTAGTGTCCCTCCAAGCTAGTGTCAGTTAGCGCCAGATTGCCTACCACACTATCACAGTCACACTATAAGTCGCTAATCACCACCATTACTAATATAGTGTCTGTATGGATCAGTATCTTGATCATGATCAGAACTATATTAGTGTGCCCAATAGTATAGTGTCCCCAAAAACGCAGTTTGTTTGTTTTTTAACAAATACATGTAGCAGAATACATTATAGAATACATACAGAAATCTGAGTTTATTGGATAGTAGAAAATATTGGGTTTTTTTTTCATTTTTATGTTTATATATTAAAAAATAAAAAATCCAGTGGTAATCAAATACCACCAAAAGAAAGCTCTATTTCTGTAAAAAAAATGATACAAATTTTCATATGGGTACAGTGTCACATGACCGAGCAATTGGCAGTTAAAATAACTCAGTGATGAATAGCAAAACATGCCCTGGAAATGAAGGGGGTACAATTTTCTGGAGGTAAAGTGGTTAAGCAAACTAAAATCATTAATTTAGGGTTAATATCAACTTTAAAAGTTGCAAGCATAAATGCTTATTCCAGTAATAATATATTGAAGAGTTAAATGTTAGTTTAAAAAAATGTACAACTCACTCTGCTGAGTGTGTGTGAAGTAGTTTGTACTTCACCAAAAGGTATTAATTGCATAGGTTTTCACCTAATCCCTTGAGTATGTGAAGTAGTTTCTGCTTCATCAAATGTATTAACTGAATACATTTTAATCTATTTTGTTGTGTGATGATGTCAGAAATAAATGACTATAAATGTATGTATAATGGTATAGTTATTTAAATAGACACAGCTCTAAAAAGGAGGTAAGAAGGAGAAAAGTCAAATAAATAATATGCATACTTATTTTTTATTTTCCTAGTTCATTGATATGGAGTTTTTTTTTCTAATTATGTACACAAAAGGCAAATTAATTATATTCATGTTGTA